TTCAATATTTCTATAGATACAACCTAAAACCATATTTGCCCTACCACTTGCAATAGCACACTGCTTCGATGGCTTTAGAGACTGATCGACTGTTACACCAAGATCCTTTCCTTCATAACACTATTAAGGTTATTCCCATCCAAATTATACTTATAATTCAAATAATGATAACACGTGCATTATGTTGTTTGTTGTTGTTAAGTACAAAGCTACATAGTGAGCTATTTGTGTTTTGCCCACCACTAGTATTGAAACCCAATTTTTAGCATCATAAATCTAGAGGTTTACCGTTAATCCAATGGGGAGCACATACATGATGATGCGCTCGATAAATTAGTGTGCGCTCTAATCTTACAACTGCAGTAAAAACATAGGGGTTACAATAACTAGCTACTTTGAAAGTATGTTGCTTCTTCGTAGCTCTGAGGAAGTATTAATGTTCCATCGCTGCAGTGGACGCAGCATAAGTAGCCCCATTGTACAACTTTGTGTTTAACAATAAAACAGACAATCGTTGTTCAACTTTGTGTTTAACAACAAACCAGACAAAGAAGAATGTAAGTAGCTCCATTGTGTAATTTTGTGTTTAACAATAAAACAGACAATCGTTGTTCAACTTTGTGTTTAACAACAAACCAAACCAGACAAAGAAGAATGTAAGTAGCTCCATTGTGTAATTTTGTGTTTAACAATAAAACAGACAATCGTTGTTCAACTTTGTGTTTAACAACAAACCAGACAAAGAAGAATGTAAGTAGCTCCATTGTGCAATTTTATGTTTAATAACAAAACAGACAATCATTGTGCAACTTTGTGTTTAACAACAAAACAAACAATCATTGTGCAACTTTGTGTTTAACAACAAAACATACAAAGAAGAAGATATATTACTAACTCTTTATCGTTTTCAGTATCTGTTTCTGGGCTTGAACAAAAGCTTAATAAGCCTGAATATATTTATATGCGTTAATGTGCCTTGATGATATAACGATGGCAAGTGAATTATTACAATTATACAGAGAAACGAAGGTATTCAGAAAGCTCTGTAACAAATGAGACATACAAGTAAACTTAGCAAAGACTGGTTTGTATGTTTGAGAACAAACTCACATTGGGCTATTTGCTGTGTCCACCACTGGGAATCAAACGTTGGAGAATCAAGAGTTGTAAGTCCCTTAACTTACTGCTGTCCCACAAGCGTACAGCGAAGAATGGATATAATTTGATTTAGAAAAGGTGAGATTGTAAACAATTTGAAGAAATTGTTTTGTGCTGGACAACCACCTGAGGTTATTTCGTATTTTCCTTAGCTGGCTGTCATTTCTCCCACCACCACTCCACTCTTCCAGTGCTCAGAGGTAAATCTGAAGGCTTATAACGCAGTATATATATATATATAAACTTTGTCCCATGGGATGTTATAACGTATTACGTATGGAATATTATCAAAATCAAAGTCATTCTATGGAAGAAGAGTAAATAGGGCTTTCAGAAACGGAAAGCTGCTCTAAAAAAGTTAAGTACAAATGTTGTAAAATATTTTTGCAAGCTTGTTTGTTTGTTTGTTTAATTATGCACAAAGCTACACAAGGGC